ATCGCAGCTATCAGGTGTTGTGTCGACGATCGCGTATATTCTCCTAGCAATTCTAGCTCAAACATTAACATCCCCCAGTACAGCTACCGTCACGGCTCTTAGTTTGTTATTTGTATGTTGTCAAGCCTATTTTACAGTTTCTTCTATCAGCAGATTATTTCACCATTCCAAATTCATTTATCACACCCAAAGGAAACTTAAGCTTCTAATCGTGTCGTCCTTGTTCTTGATACCCTCGCTCTCCCTTAAACGAACTGGTCACTAATGTTTAGTTATCAGACGCCCTGTAATTTTGTTTGGTTCATGACATATATAGCAAGATGGGAAAGGCATTCATTTCCAGCGGATCTTGTGAAAAATCCACCCGACAATCCATGGGATTTGCCTGGTATTGTATTTTGGGTATTCCTCATCATCCAAATCTTTGCCTATCCTATCATAGGCGCTTACCTCGAGCGCGTATTTCACGGCACGACCACGAAAGGCCGCACGATCCTTCAAGGCCAGACTGCTGAAGTAGCCCCCGCCGATGCCGTTCGTCTCGATGGCTTCACGAAGATCTACTACCCTAACCCCCTAGCAAAGTTCGACCCTTTCAGCTCGACGCCAAAGGAACCCGTTTTTGCCGTGGATAAACTAACCCTTGCCGCGAGAAGGGGCCAAATTCTGGCTCTGCTTGGTGCCAATGGTAGTGGAAAGAGTACAACACTTGATTCTATTGCTGGTATTACCAAATTGACTAGCGGCGATATCACAATCGATGGTACTGGAGGACTGGGTATCGCGCCGCAAAAGAACGTGCTATGGGATGAGTTGACAGTTGAAGAACACATCAAAGTCTTTAACAAACTAAAAGCTCCAAAGAACATTGCTTCCTCGCAAGAGATCCATGACTTGGTAGTCTCCGTAGATCTTGGCCCCAAGGAAAAGGCTTTTGCAAAGACTCTATCTGGTGGACAAAAACGAAAGCTACAGTTGGGAATGATGTTAACCGGTGGGAGTGCCGTATGTTGTGTTGATGAAGTCTCTTCCGGAATTGATCCCCTCTCTCGACGCAAGATTTGGGATATTCTTCTAGCTGAACGTGGAAAGCGAACAATCATTCTCACGACTCATTTCCTCGACGAAGCCGACCTCCTTGCAGACCATATTGCCATTCTATCTAAGGGCACACTACGAGCCCAAGGATCCTCCGTCGAACTCAAGGATAGGCTAGGTGCCGGGTATCGTGTTCACGTCTTTAACGCTAGGGAAATCAAGAATCCTCCTGAGGTTAAGGGTGTTGCCCGCAAGATGGGATTCGATGTGATTAGCTACATTGCGCCGTCCTCTGGCCTTGCCGCTGATGTTATACGCGCGCTCGAAGCGGCAGGAATTCACGATTACAAATTCTCTAATCCCACTATCGAAGACGTCTTTCTCCAAGTAGCCGAGGAAGTGAAAGGCGAAAGCGCCGTGACGCCATTAGAGGCATCATCATCCTCTACCGAAAGTAGCCCCGACAAGCTAGCAAGCCCAGAGGAGAGTGTTGGCGAGGTTGAGAAGGATGGTTTAGAGCTACTATCGGGGCGGCCAATTGGTTACGCGAAACAGATAGGAGTGCTCTTACTGAAGCGATGCACCATCCTGAAAACGAATTGGTTTCCTTATGTAGCAGCTTTCCTGATTCCAATCATAGCGGCAGCCTTGACAGCTCTTTATGTCACGGATCAGCAACCTCCTGGCTGCAACCCAGCCAGTCAAGCATCAGCTGATATCTCGGGTACCTCGAGCCTCTACGACAACCTCTTCTTGGTCGGCGGCCCATCTTCACAATTCAGCAATGCTACCATCTCTAGACTCTTCGGACCTGTCCTGCAGAATCGTGCAGAAGGCCAGTCTGGATTGGGCCCGGTATTCGCGTTTATCGAGAGTCTACATCTTGTCGATTCCTTGGACGAATTTAACACTATGATCCAACAGAGACGGAAGGATGTCAAGCCTGCTGGTTGGTGGCTTGGAGACTCCAACTCAGCACCCACGATTGCGTACGAAGCAGACGCCGGAGACGTCTTGACCTCTATATTCGGACAGAACGGTCTAAACGTCATGTTAGCAAACACCAGTATTGCTACCGACTATTCTGCCTTCGCTACACCCTGGGCGCCAAACACTGGAGACTCTCTACAGCTGCTGATCTACTTCTGTTTGGCAATGTCCGTCTACCCGGCTTTCTTCGGCCTGTATCCCAATCTTGAAAGACGACGGAATGTTCGTGGGCTCCAATATTCAAACGGTGTCCGTTCAGCGCCGTTATGGATTTCGTACACGACATTCGACTTTGCTATTGTACTTGTTGCTTCTGCAATCGCTACCGGTATATTTGCTGCGATGTCGGGTGTTTGGTACCGTGTTTCCTATCTCTTCGTGGTTTTCATGCTGTACGGCTTAGCTTCGACGCTGTTCTCGTATGTCATCTCTCTGTTCTGCGGCAATCAGCTGTCGACGTATGCCTTTTCAGCAGCTGGCCAGGCCGTTGGCTTTCTAATCTACTTGATCGCCTACTTGTGTGTCATCACTTACGCGCCCGTCAACACCATCGATTCATCTATACTCCTGGCTCATTTTGTCATCTCGGCCTTCATACCTGTTGGGTCAGTGGTTCGAAGCATGTTTATTACCCTCAACCTCTTTTCTGTTACCTGCGACGGCGATCAGATACAGTCGAATCCCGCTGCATTGACTGCCTATGGTGGACCGGTGCTTTACTTAGCTGTACAGTCAGTCCTCTTATTTGCTTTCTTGCTATGGCACGATAGCGGATCTGGAACATCTATTATCAATCGACTCATGCCAAAGACTGCTTCGCCCTCCAAAGATCCAGCTGGTACGGACGCAGAGGTAGCAGACGAATTGGTTCGGGTGACTAGCACGCCGTCTGAGAGCGATGGTCTGCGAGTATTACACTTGACGAAATCGTTCGGGAAGAACACGGCTGTTGACAATGTCACGTTTGGCGTTCAGCATAGCGAGGTGTTTGCTTTGCTAGGTCCTAATGGTGCCGGCAAATCTACCACTATTTCATTGATCCGCGGTGATATCCAACCCAGTCGCAATGGAGGCGATGTCCTCGTTGAGAACACATCCGTCAGCCGTCATCGGGCTGAGGCTCGCGCCCACTTAGGTGTATGTCCCCAATTTGACGCCATCGATTCCATGACCGTTCTCGAACACTTGCGCTTCTACGCGCGCATCCGGGGAATCCCGGATATCGAACACAACGTGCGTGCCGTTCTCCGCGCCGTAGGTCTGGAGGCCTTCTCCACGCGCATGGCGCATGCGCTCTCGGGCGGAAACAAGAGGAAGCTATCTCTCGGTATTGCATTGATGGGCAACCCCAGCGTCGTGCTCCTCGACGAACCCTCCTCTGGTCTCGACGCAGCCGCGAAGCGTATCATGTGGCGAACGCTACACTCGATCGTGCCGGGCCGCTCTATTCTGCTTACGACGCATAGCATGGAAGAAGCGGACGCGCTCGCGACCCGCGCAGGTATCCTCGCCAAGCGCATGCTAGCCATGGGCGGCACGGAGAGCCTGCGACAGCGCTTCGGCGACGCCCTACACGTGCATCTTGTCAGCAAGACAGCACCGCACTCCACGGTTGAGGAAATGGAGCGCATTCGTACTTGGGTGTTGCAGCGATGGCCCGATGCCGAGGTCGAGCAGAAGACGTACCACGGACAGATGCGCTTCTCGGTGCCGGCCAGCGCGATCGCAAGCCCCGACACCACCAGCGGAAGCGCGATCGGTCAACTCATTATAATCCTTGAAGAGCACAAAGAGGAACTTGGCATTGAGCACTACTCGTGCACGCCGACGACGCTGGATCAGGTGTTCTTGACGATTGTCGGACAGCACAATGTAAAGGAGGAGGGATACAACGAAAAGAAAAAGAAAGCTTGGTGGAGTTGGAGCCGGTAAGGGGCTTATGTATATCTGTTACTCTATACCATATACGGTTGCATATAGATTAAAACTTTCTTTTTTTTCAAACAGGGTTGGGAGGTATGGCATATATTACAGGATATAAAGGTAGTCTCATTTACATGGAATAGATAGGCATGATGAGTTTAGAATTCTATAAAGGATACTCTCAATTGCATGGAAATGGGAGTGTTTGGATTTTGTATCATAGTCTACCATGTATCATACACCATCAATAATCCTCGCCAAATCTTAGGTCAGTGATAGATAAAACGACACGATACCGTACATCAAAGCGCGTAATTAGTGGTGTGTTGGTGATCACAACTAAAACACATATGGTAAGGGGGTAGCATGTATATAGTGTATACTAAGCGCCCAACTTCCAATAACCACCAATGGGAGTTTGGCCGAGTGGTTAAGGCGTTGTGTTTAGGTCTTCATCTGTTCTTACGGATGGACACTTCAAACCGCAATGGGAAACCGCGCAGGTTCGAATCCTGCAGCTCTCAATTCTTTTGCCAATTCTAGACACTGGAGAAGACGATGAAATTTTTTTCTCACTGCGGCTTTATGACCTATTTAGTTAGAGCGCTATTATGCGGCATAGCGGTGAATGCATAGGTATTTACCAAGCAGTCGGTTCGGCCTCCTTAGCGTACGACCGGCTCGTCTTGCTTGTTAAAGGTTGTGCTTGGTTTTTTCTTCGGGTTTGCATCGCTTACCTGCTGTGCTTGCATGACAGATTGACAAATAAGTCGTGATAGATACAATCAACCTATCGAGCTATATAATCGATGTAATCGACGCAAATACTAGGGGCGTTTAGGGTTCCTCCGTGCTGAACTTGAGCGGCATAAAAGTTCAAGACTTTTAAGCCGAGCCATACCTTATCTTTTCAAGTAACCTTGTCCACGTTCCACAATTCTAGAATATAAACGCTCGAAATCATCATAAAAATAACAAAAATAAGGGAAAATATCAACTCCATCTACTACTGCTCCGGTGATTATTCGCATTATAGAGGGCAAAAAGGAGGGTTTGACCGGGGATCGAACCCGGGACCTCTCGCAAGTTTGCGACACGCTCACATGACCCAAAGCGAGAATCCTACCACTAGACCATCAAACCCTGCTATGTAGGTTGGCGAATTATAGATGATTATATATCTGGAACACATGGTCCGTATCGGTGAAGACAGTGGAACAATACTAAGGTTTCTGCGTGGGGAAACAACAAAAAAGCCTTCGTTTTATGGCTAGTGGGCAAAGTTGAAATAATTGGGTGAGTTTGCTGAGAAATGGTTTGTGTCCGGGGTGGGTTTTGGTAAGACTCGAAAGGCCGAGGTCGAAGATTCCGACGATGCCACTTATTCGAACGCAACATATGTAGTAAGCTACGCGATTCATTGCGATCCAACCGATTGCAATGAACTGGAAATCTTGAAAGCAAGAAAAGCGAGAGGGAATTTTCTGCAAGCGCTTGACTTTTTAACTTTCCCCGATTGATGCAGGCTTCCTCTGTGCTTCCTCCATTACTGTAAAGGGAAGGTCGTTTTCAATGGCAACCGATATCGTTGTAAGGGGGTTATGTAGTTGCTGATAGACCTCAAACACTTGTCTTAAGACTCGATGATATTAATGGGATTGTATAAGTAGGTATACATTTGATATGTTTATGACGAGTTTTGTTATACCATAATATTTATAGGTGTGTCAACTAGAGGAAAGCAAAACTCGACTCAGCCGGCATTCAAACCTAACCCATATGATCCCTCAACCAAGCAGCGGCCAACTCCTCCCCTTTGTCGCCGAGTTCGTATTTACCACGGTAGAGCCCTACGTCCTCAACTTGAATCCTCCTATCAGCTTCGTCATCCCATCTGTCGTGATCCTCGTCCCATTTACGCCGCTCCTTTAATTCCACCTTATCGATGCTTCTACGCATCAACCCGGCCAACTCCTCAGCCTGCGCTTTGAAGTTATTCCCCGGGCGTTCTTTTCTCCGTCTCTGGACCCTCCGCTGAAACGATGGTGGCGGAGGGGGTGGCGTCGAGTGCAGCAGTAGCACCTCCGGAATTTTCAGGGTCGACTTTCTGGGAGGGAAAACTAGTGGACTCTTCCTCGGTGACTTGATAGGCGTCGAGGGATTCATTGCATCTTCTGCCAGCATGTCTAACTCCTCCGAGATAGACGTTTCTGAGGGGAGAGCAGATTTGTCAAACGATGGTGGCACTAGGAGACCTGGAGTGTGGAAAAATAGACACGAACTTGCGAAGGGGTCGAAGAGGTTGGCTGCACTTCCGAATAAGGGCTCAGCGTGCTGCTTGAACTGCTGGAAATCAGGATCTCGTCCCTCGGATAGGATTCCGTCAACCAACCCCATAAACCCGCGCTGCTTCGGCGCTTGGTTAATTGAGTGATCCGGGAGGAACATGGTCCAGTTGTATATACCGTTGTAGGCAACACATCCCCGAATGCCCATCCGTGCATGGGGATGGGTTTCCGTTAGTGCTAGCGATGTTGCTAGCGATGCGCCGAGATACGAGCCGTAGACGTATATGTCCCGGCGTGTATAAGTAGAAGGGCCGAGGTTTTCAACAATCCACTCGTAGGCTCTGGCGGTGTCATGTATGGCAGCCGGCCAAGACAATATAGACAAGTCATTCTCTTCAAGCTGCTCGTCAGGCTCCGATGGTTGTGGCAGCGGTGCTGGGGCTGGGAATGGTCCAAAGCCAACCCAACGATAGTTGATCACGGCCGTCGGTTTCCTCTCAAGAAAACTTGGTAACCGTGCAGGCTTGTCCGCAAATGCAGTTGAGTACGGAGGAAGATATATCAATAAGGGGACTGGTGATGACACCTTAGCAATATTATGCAGACTACCCTCATTCACGGGTTAGGTGGGCACCAGTAAATTGTGTAAACTTCGCAATCACTTACTCGATGGTGACAACTCCCGATGAGCCATTGCGAACACTGACCGTTTCTACATCATTGACAACGGCGCTGAAACATCTTATCCTCTGGCTGCGAAAGCCTGCAAGTACTGAGCTTCTACCCAGGATCCATCTTCTCATCTTTCGTCTCTTATGGAACTGGATTGACGAAGCATCGGTGCAATAGGAAGAAACCTTTCAACGAATAATATAGATGGCTCAATTGAACAGGTACCTAAGTATTAGATATTATACGAAATCAAAATTATGCGAATAGCATCGGAAGCATGACTAGAATTAGGTATGTATCGACGCTGAAAAAGAGCCAAAAGGAAACCTTTTTTTAACGCGTCGTGCGATATGAATTAGGTGACATGAGATCGGTAGTTCCAAAATGGTTCAGCGGCTTTAGTGGACAGGACAATCTTTAGCATGGGTCAACCGCCAATCATCCTGCATTCCAGCAGGTTATTTCCTCCCCAGACCCCAGCTATCCCGACGCTAAGGGGCCCCGTTTCGATGCCAAGCGACGTCATCCCACGTCCAGCATCTACAATCAGGGTAGGCCGCCTGACCCTCCTTTGTCTAGGTGCTTAGTAGGTAGAATATTCTTAGATATTCGTAGTATTTATATGCAGAACCATTTATACTATAGAAATACCCGACTTTTGTGTTTCTAGTTCGCCAGTAAAAAATAAATAAACAATCATTCACGAGCCTCTTGAAAGAAAGCGATATACTGTATTAGTTGAGAAGGTCGGATATATGGATCCAAGTCTCTCCTGTTATCTTCAGCCGACTTACACAGAAATTACCCAAGTATGAGTTGCTACTCATACAAATAGAGATGGACGATGCCGATCTAAACAACAATATCAACGAACAGGCACAGGCCTTTGAGGGCGACGAGCAGGATAAGAACGCCCAGCATGGGATCATGAATGACCAGATCCATCTGGATCCAAGGTAGGGGATCTCGCCCACATCAACACTATAGTATAATACACACCTACACTACACTACACGATACTATACCTACAGCAATATAGTAAAACTAACTAACCACCTTACAAAACTACAGCCGTTGGTGGTTCGCATCAGCCGCGTTTCCCATGATTGCCGGCACACTAGGTCCGGTAGCTTCAGCATTCAGTATCTGTGCTCTAGTCAAGTACTGGAGACAGCATATCCCACCGGGGTCCGACGTCACCAAGGCCATATACGTGAAAGACCCAGTATGGCTCACCGCCGTAAACGCGATCCAGCTGGTGATCGCCGTTGTTGCGAACGTCTTCCTCCTGCTGAACATGACCAAGAGAGTTCGGTTCTCTATCGCCCAGCCCATTACCATTGCCGGATGGTACATATCCGCCATCTGTCTCATAGCCTTGTGTGCCACAGCGAGCGGGCCGCTGGCAGTCAGCCCAGATATCGAAGAGGAATATGTCTGGTCGCAAGCTTTCTATTACGGCATGTACGCCGCAATTCTCTACTTCATCGTCGCGTCTCTCATGACCGTCACCGCGTGGGGCGCAGAAACCGGCCATTACGACAAGGATTTTGAGTTGACGATGAGCCAGAGGACACTGATGCTTCAGACCATCGTCTTTCTCGTGTACCTGCTCTTGGGTGCTCTGGTTTTCTCGAAAATCGAGGGCTGGAACTATCTGGACTCGGTGTACTGGGCCGACGTCACCCTCTTCACCGTAGGCTTCGGTGAGATCTCGCCGCAGACCAGACTCGGCCGTGGACTTCTCGTCCCCTATGCGTTAGTCGGCGTAATTAGTCTCGGTCTGGTCATTGGCTCTATTCGAAGCATGATTTTGGACCGCGGCAAGCATAGGCTCGATGCGCGGATGCTGGAACGACAGCGACGTCTCTCGATCCGGCGCATAATGAAGAAGGGAAATGCCGACTTGCTCCACCCGATCGGTGCAGAAGCTTCGGATGATTCCGAGAGAGAGGGTTGGACCGAGTTCGAGCGCCGCCAGAAGGAATTCCAACTCATGCGGAAGATCCAAAAGAAGGTATGTGTAGTTCGACCGAAGACGACTGGATATCTTCCACCGTCATCCATAGTTTTCAATTTATGCTAACGCGGAGTAGTAAGTGATTGACGTCTAGTTTTTGTACTCTGTTCTTGCTCAAGAACCTCCATAAGTGAATATCTAGCTTCATGCGATCATATATAACTAACACGCAATAGAGCATCGGCAAGAGAAAGGTGGACGGCCATGGCCATATCCTCTAGTACATGGGTTGTGCTCTGGCTCGTAGGAGCAAAGATATTCCAAGAGTGCGAATACCCATATCAGGGATGGTCCTACTTCGATGGCTTCTATTTCGCATTTACGGCGCTGACGACGGTTGGATACGGAGACCTTACCCCGGTCTCGAACTCGGCCAAGACCTTCTTCGTGTTTTGGTCCCTCTTGGCCTTGCCGACGATGACCGTCCTCATATCCAACGCGGGTGACACGATCGTGAAGGGCGTCAAGGACGGCACGCTGCTGGTCGGAAACATAACTATTTTACCCGGAGAGCACGGGTTCAGAAAGGAGGTGAAGCAAGTGCTATCAAAATTGTCTTGTGGGATCTTGTTCGTGGACACGGATATCGAGGAATCCCCGCCGGGCTTCCTGGGAGCGGCCGGCGAGCATACGGACGAGGAGGACGAAGACGAGGGAGGAAGTAGTGACGAGCATGGTGCATCGTCTCGGACGGCCGACGCAAACAACGCCGAACGCAATAGTAGAGCCGACAGGGATGCAGAGAAGGGAGAATCTAGTCCAGCATCTCCGCCCCAAAGAAATGGCCATAACGCACGGCGAACTGATACTCAAAAATCATCGGCTACATCCACGGCATCGCCCAATGGGGGCACAAGATCCAAGTCTCCAGGACGAGCCTCGTCGATTGCTCGAGAGAGCCTGCCGACTGAAATGCCCAAATCCCGCGCCGAATACCACCTCGTCTTAATCGACGAAATCTCGCGTGTGACTAAGCATCTGCGACACTCGCCCCCGCGCAAGTATACCTTTAAGGAGTGGTTAGTGATACACTGCATCCCCCCGTGTTGTTCCCCTCTTCTATCGATAACCCCGCTATCTACCTCGCCCTCAAATGCCATTGAATTTCATCCCATTTTCTGAACTGGGTAGGAGATAGAATACAAGATGGATTGTGTATTGTC